CACACTATTGTACATCATTTAGAAGCCACTAAAATTTCATAAATCAGTTACTACGGACACAATGATTGAAGGATGTAGCAACGGTACTTCACTTGACAAGAATACTAAACACCCTGGATTGGGATCCAGGTATTCGTCTGTAAATTGCGACGTGCGTTAAAAGGGGACCCATCATGGTCAAAGCCTTATCATTACACAATGCAGAAATCAACTCATTCACCGGTAGGCGTTGACATACGCGATTCACTACCAGAACTTCCCTCTGCCTTTTCCACATCTGAACGCTCGGCTATCGAACGACTCTTTGTTGAAGACCCTGGTGTCAAGGGTTGTGGCTGGTTCCACCGTCGCCGAGAGGATCCGCTTCATGTCCAGGCCAACGTCATTCGGGTCGCTTGCAACATTGTCTTTGGACCACTGTTGTGCTTTCCAATTTTCTCAGCAATAGGACAGGTTGCCTACAACTTTTCCAAAGCCACGTGGCAAGACGAGCTCGTAGACGTTTCCGGCGCTGTTCTTCGGAATCCTCCCTCGGGAGACGACGTGAATCCAAAGGTTCTCAGTCCCGCTGCGATATTGCATGCTGCCAATGGTTCCGACAGCAGCAGTAGCACACTTCCGCGAGTGGATAGAGAGATTTATGAGAAGACTAATTTCGAACCGCGGTGGATGCTTCGGGTTTTCGTTCGTGACGGTCATTATGATGGTCATGAACAGATCCAATGGACGGAGGAACATCGCAGTAAAGGGTACACGGCGCTCAGCTACGATATGGACGCAGCCTACACGCTATTCAAAGAGGCTGGACGAACTCTTCGAGATCCACCGCCGGACGGAAAGGCGAAATTTTCACTGAGGGACCGGAAACGAATATCACTGGAATTTCTTGCAGAGTACTGTTCGGCAGTTCGTCAGAACCAGAAAGTCGACCCGGATCGAGAGGTGTTTGTTTGGCTCGGTGAGTGCAGCGACTCACCTATCATCACAAATTGACTGATTTTGCAACCAGATGAGTTCTGTCTTTCAAGAGAGAGACAACACTTGAGCGAAAAGACGCAGGATGATCAGGCTGAGAGGGAAGAGGTCAAAAAGGAACGGAGCGAGGAGCTAGGTCGCCTTTCAGATATCTTCAGAGCAGCTGAGACTGTGGTAGTCTTCTGCGACAAGGTCAACTGTGACCACACCAACCTGACTTGCAGATGGGCCAACCGTCTTTTCACCTTGGGAGAAATTCTCCACGCCAACAAGACCCAACGGATGACTAGACGATTGGTCCCAGGCGGGAATACCAGACCTCAAAGCCACCTGTACCCAGAATCTGGAAAGTCATTCCGCGAGAGGATGATGCATGCTGCAGCGTTGGCTAGCAAGTGGTATTTGCATTCCGTCCTGCAACAAAGCAACAGCACCGGGAATGACACATGGCAGATGACCATACACGCTCTCATTGTTGAAGCTATCAGACGGGATCGGGAATCAGGGTACGATAATCACGAGTTTCTCGGAAAAGGCCTGAATGGACTTTTCCCGCGCCGAGCGAGACTGCACCATCTCAAGGGCAAAGATGGTTGGGCTGACCTCGCTTGGTTGTTGGAAGTCAACCAAGGGTTCTATAACCAGGCTGCCCTTGCTGCCGTGTGTTGTCTTCCGGATAAACCAGAGGCTGGGAATGGATGGCTAGGTCCCCCAATCGAGCCCAGAGCGGGAAACGAGCGTTTTGAGCCTCTGGTGACTGCCTTTACAGTCGGAGCGATGGATAAAAATGGGAAGCCGATCGCACCATTGAATATCGTGGGCGCGAAGACTATCGGGCTTCATCCCGATCTCAAGAGGGATTCGAAGGCTTTATTCCGCAATCCTCATGTCCGTGTCACGAAGATGGTTTCCGTGACGTTGTTACTGCTCAGTTGGTTCATCTCACTAGTCATGATCTTCAGCGGTCTTGTCAACCCGGGTCTTGCGGTCGGAGGCCTGGTACTACTCTGGACATCCTCCATTGCTTTCAACCTCCTCCGCCTCATCGTCAGCACAATGTACCTTGAACGAAGTGGGTGGGTCTTCCTTAGCGAAGGGAAATGGAACGATGGGAGCAAAGGCGACGCAGCATGGGGAAGCGAGCCGGAACATATCCTTGGGCAGCTAGACCGTAGCCTCAAGGGACGTATCGTGGATTGGGGAGAGGAGCAGATGGCTCCTAGATGGGATGTTCCCACAAGTCGGTACATGCGAGGCCATCTCGTCGATTTGCGCACGGGAATCAAAGTTCGTGTGGTGGTGTCTAAAAGGCCCAACGCGATGGTCGTCTTGGGGGTTCATGGATGTGGGGTGACGTACATGTTACTGAATCGTTCCGACAATGTGAACGATGTAGCTGGGAAGGTTGGCCTGGCAAATTTACCACCGTTCACGCTGGCCGTGACCAACAAGTGTGGGTCAGTTCGAGTTGGCATAGCCGACTTTGTGGAACCTCCTAAGCCTGTGGGATGGGGAGCAGTCGGTGCTGCCGTGGCAGTGGGTGCAGTATTGGGTTCAGTGTAATCGAATAAGTCGTTCTTCCTTGATGTTCTGCATATGATACAGCACCGTGTTCGATAAGTAGAAACCATTCCTACGCGAATCACACGGTACTTCGTCCAAAAGGAATGTTTACTGTCTGTTTTCATCAGAAACAATGTATACTTTGTATCAAGAGACTCACTTAGTGCCAAAGGATCCGGCTGTGTAATTTAAAGCTCCCCTCAACATATCCTCTCTCTCTCAACATCTCCCAATCGTCAGGCACCAAGTCAATGTTTGGCTTGTCGATGCCGTTCCCGCCTGAACAACGCAATTGTGCCAAACGATTAGCCAAAGAAAAAGAAATCGACGGCCAGAAAACGCTCTAAATTTGGGGTTAGATTACCATTCCATGTTAAATACACGTATTCATATACTCACCGCATTCAAGGCTCCAACTCATCAAGCTGGAGGTCTAGCACTCCCGAGGCTGAAAGGGATGCGGAGTTTTTCGTAGACGTGACCGGTGTTATCGAGAGCAGGAGTACCATCAGCATTCGCGACGTTGCTGAAGAGAGTTTTTCGGTCCGTCTTCCCAAACGTAAGACTATGAAACGAGCACTCTGCCTCGCTGGCTTCTTCATGGTTGAGGATGCGCAGTACTGGATAAATACTACGGTAACATTGGGTCGGGGCCATCATGGTCCAAGTCAGAGCACGGAAACTCCGAGGAGAATGTACGTAATCATAAATTTCCTAGGCAAAATATTGCCTGTCAATTGCCTTCAACTTTCGACCTTTCCTACTTACTAGCGTCCATACACAAAAGGTGAGTTGTCCTTTTCTTCGTTCTTTCTTCCATGCTCATCGTCCAAACATGCCAGCAATCCAATGTCGGTACAAGAATCAAAGGACCCTACGCAAGACTGTCGCAAAATCGACATACAACAACTACGAACGAACCAGGTTCCTTCCGATGAGGAGACGTTGCAGATGCGCGGTAGGCTGGAGGTAGAGATGGCTGAATTGGAGGAATTGGAGGCAAAGATTGCCCAAGGACACGACGCAGAGTCTCGAGAGACAACGCGACAACCTTGTCCGTGGAATCGAGTTGCGACGATGTTGGATCGCACCAGTTCGGAAACTCCCTATCGAGGTTTTGGAAGAGATTCTCTCACATACGTGTCTGGGAAAGGATCCAAATGAGTACGGCCTCGTCATTCGTTCCATTACCACCCCTTCAGATAGCGACATCCACCGCATTGGTTACCCCAATGCAGAGATCGTCAAGAGAACCATTGCTACAACCCTTATCCTATCCCAAGTGTGTTCCCATTGGAGGAATGTCATCGCCGATACACCTCGTTTATGGTCATCTCTCAGTCTCGACGTTATCAAAATGACGGCAGGGAACGCGAGATTGGTTTCATTACATCTCAGGCGTTCAGCCAAACATCCGTTGACCGTCGACCTTCGTGAAACTTTCCGGTCTTACGCTGAAGATTTTGAAACCAAAGAGGAGACTGTCCAAGTTCTAGGAAGCGTCGGGCTGAGCGTTTTCATTGATGTGATGAACGAGCTCCATCGTTTCAGACAGCTTCACTATGGTTTTGGCACAGATACCCTTCTCCTCTACATCGAACCAATAGATTCGGAGCTTCCTCTCCTCGAGTCTTTCTCTACCTGCACATCTTTTGAAGGGGTAAATCTCACAAACCAACGCTTCTGGAACTCTATCATAGGCGCACCAAACCTCATCTATCTCACCTGCATCAAGTATGGCTTGGACTACAGATGCCACACCACGAACGCTCGTATAGTTACCCTCGCACAAATGGAAAGTTACCTATCTCTTATCTTCAACCTCGTATGGTTCTCCCTTTCCAATGTCACCACCTCAATATCCATTTTGGACTTTTCCCCAGCCCGGGAGAGCATGCAGGTGTTTGACGAAACATACCTTCCGGAACCTTATCTTCATGCAACGTTCCACCATCTCACTTATTTGAGGGTCACGTCCTCTATGCTAAATGTCGATTTGAGGAGGCTGTTTTCGGGGTTGACGCTCCCAGCACTCGAGGTTTTCATACTCGAGTTGGGGTGTTATTCTCCTCCATGGTCAGGCATTTTACGTGTTTTGGAACGTATGTTTGGACGTTCTGGGTGTTCTTTGCAGGAGATGAAACTCCATATGGTTGGTTCGTCCTTTGGAGAGGATGTGGTATCTCTGCTGGAGAGTGTACCGAGTCTTGTTAGTCTCTCGCTGGAAGGTAGTGACGTTGCGGCTGTGTTGTCGGGTTTGTGCGCTAGGATATCGATGACGCCCGGGCTTCTTCCGAATTTGCGGTACTTGGCTGGGAAGGGAGAGGAAGGAGAGGACTGTTCGGACGCAGTAGAGTGTCTCTCGAAGATGCTGGAAGCTAGGGTTCGTGTTCAATGACCAAGGCCTTAGGGTATTTATCAGGGCACGGCAGATGTATGGTAATGGCAGAATTCGAATCGTAGGCGCTATAGCCAAGTGGTTACGGCGACAGATTAGAACATACATGGAGAATTGAGATATGTGCTATCTGTTCCTCTTTGAGGGCGCAGGTTCGAATCCTGCTGGCGTCGATCATGAGTTCTGGGACCGATTTTTTTGCTCTTCGCTCCGAAGTTTCCCCTTCGAATGCCCAGTGTCCAGACCGGCGGCAACGCGCTGATTAGGTTATTCAACGCCTGTCATCGCCTAGAATGTAGTCAATCTGGAACAGTCACCAGCGGTAGCGGTCACCCGCTCGTTTCCACTCTCCCCTATCCGGCGCCGACAAAGGTCACGTACCCACAGTGGAAAAACAATCTCTCCATTTGGCATCATGCGCCCTATATATTTCTCTTGTCCCGACGATGGGATAGACACGCGCAACCATGGATACTCTCAGTCTAATTCCCTACCCAACAATCACTATTCCTTCCTTTATCCTTCTTTCTTGGCTCTCCGTCGTTCGTGTCTTTCGCTGGAGACGCTACAACTACATCCACAGCACCTATGGTCCCAAATACGCAGCAGGAGCCCTCACTCCAGAAGATGCCCAGAAAATCATGGGAATTGTGACCAGATACGAGATGCCGTTGATTTTAGAGTACGCGTTGGCGTTTGCGTTGTTTAAAACGTATGCTATTGTGAGTATCAATCGCAATTACACTGCGCGTGTTCTGACTGTGTCGTAGCCGTCTATAAGCAAACTACTCGCTGCAACCAAAGAGCTCAAGTCGGATGAAAGCATCTCAAAGCGTTACGCGGACACGTCTATTCTCATCTGTGCGTCGTCCTTATTCTCTTCTCTTACGCTCCCGCTCACTCCTTCGCCAGCGACATGGGTCCAATGCCCTATATCTGGTTACGTCGAAGCCACATCCGAAAAGCCACTCCAAGATCCCCGAGCTAGTCTCGCCATAGCTCGCGTCAACTACCTCCATTCCCGATATAACATCGTAAGCTGTTCATCCCCATTTTAGTCTAGACTCTAGCACGTTCTAATCCCGACTCAATCGCACCATAACAGAAAAACGACGACTACTTGTACACGCTTGCATTGTTCATGTTCGAGCCCTCGGTATGTGCTACCACCGCCCATTCTATAATCAAAATCAATATCCATGCATCCCATCTCGCGACTATTAGTCTAAAATGCTCATTAACCCCGCGCAGAGATGGGCAAGTAAATACGGCTGGCGGCCGCTTTCGCCTTTGGAGAGTTATGTACGTCTCTTATCTCTTTGGGCGCCCGTGTTCACCGGACCAAGACTAACCAACGCGCTGGGTTGGATAGGCGATGTATCTCTTCTGGGTTGAAATTGGTAACCGAATGGGTATCAAGGATATCCCTGACACTGAAGAAGGATTCAAAGCTTGGGTCGAGGTGCGATCTCGTTTCGTTCTATGATGGGTTACACGGCTGATGCTGGAATAGGAATACGAATCTAAACATATGCGACCGGCACAGACGAATCATGATGTAGCGACGTACACTACCAACGAGCTGATCTATCCCATCCCAGAAGCGTTTGGGTTGAAAAACCTCGCTAGGAAGATGTCGATTGCGGTTTTAGATGAAAATGTCAGGGTTGCTATGATGTGCGTCTCTTCTCCTTCCATTCTTTTTTGCGTGGCTGATTAAAGGTAATACGACAGGCAACCTGAACAACCATGGTATCTCCGCTCTATTCTTGACAGCTTGCTCAGGTTTTGCGCATGGAACGTCAAGTATTTCCATCTGCCCCGTCCTTCGTGCTGGGTATACTCCCAAATATCCGTCCCACTTCCCCAATTCAAAGAAGGCGAGGAGCCTTTAATGACACCAGGGTACTTCCAACCCCGACCATGGTATAAACCTTTACCTACCACCTGGGCAGGATGGACGTGGAATTGGGTGTTGGTCAAGCTAGGCAAGTACGCGGAGATGCCTAGTGAGAAGTTTGAGGCGGGTGGATATAGGTTGGATGGGATGGGCCCGTTGAAGTATGAACATGGTGAGTAGAGCGTATTTTCTTTTCTTTTGGGATGAGATGGGCTGATAAGGTGTTCTTTCTTGTAGCTGGGAGAGAAGAGGTGTATAGGATGGCGGAGAAGATGTTGGGGTGTCCGGTGAATAAGGCGTGGAAGGTGCCGCCAAAGGGAAAGTAGGCATGTGTGCCTATGAGTAGTGCGGATGTAACTTATTGTGGATTGGGTACACATTCTATTCGAGTCGCAGTATTTTGACTCTGAGTTATGTACAATGTCGTAATGGGTCATGTGGTTACCACATGTCGCGCGACAAATTCAATTCAAATTCTGCACTCCCATGTCGACCTCCGAGCCAAACCAGCGTTCTCATCCACTACTACGCCTCCTTAATCATAAAGAAGCCAGCGAAGCGGAATGCGAACTTTGGCACCTTGCGTTTGGGAAAAAGAAGCGAGACATTCTCTTTAGGCCAGTTACCGCCGTCGATGGCACTCTTATAGTCGATTCCAGAAACCGCCCCTACGAACAACTCAACATACCTCTCAGCCTCGGGGACTGGGACTCCATCCTAGTTTGCTCGGAATATCCAACTGCTCTCAAAGATATCAAGCGGTGGTTCAAAGACGATATTACGGCGTGCGATATCCCAACTCCAATCTTCCGTGACGATTACATCTGGAGTCGCTGGCGGGACTTCCCAGCCTCGGATGATGATGATGATGATGTGCACCAATCAGAGACTCAGAGTCGAGAGTCAGGTCGTTCTACCCTGTTTCTTACATCTGGAAATACTGTGCTAACAAACAACGTAGATGACTCGGAAGCCGAAGCCGAAGCAGCAGGATCTGATATTCGTGAAATAGTTCAAATCGTTGGCATGCCTGGTATAGGTCAGTCACACTCCTCCGATAATCATCAAGCAAGCATGGGGTTTTTGATTCGTGGTACTACCAGGGAAATCACTTTTTCTCCTCTACATACTAGCGGAACGACTCTTGCGAGGTCTCGAAACCTGTCTGCAAACGGAACCAAATCAGTTCACACTATGGTGTTCCGAAGGGACGTTCAAAGTTTTTATCGATCATACATTCACCGATGCCATGAAAAACCCGAAGAATGCAGATATACTTCCAATGAGCACCTGGTACTTGTTCGATTCCAACCACAAGATTTCAGTTCCGCCCGTAGAGATACAATGTACGCATGCGAGGATTGTACAGGTGTCATCTTTTAGAACCTCGTGCTTGAAATGGGTTAGAAAGACGATCGCACAGTCGAACCGTTATGCGATGAAGCCTCCTACTTTGAAGGAACTCATCCTCATGTACGTGGTGTGGCTCCATCTCCAAATCGTTGACTCACGCTCTTTATACCTAAGGAGAGACTGCCAGCATAGCCCTTCTATACCATCCATATCCAATTCGGCAATAACGGACTTTTTTCACAAATACGGCCCATCTGCTCGACAAATCTTCAGACACGCCGATAATCCTGCGGAATACGACAAACAGTTGAAAGACCAGGTAGCGCAAATCAACGTAGAGACCCTCGCCGCACTCATTTCAGATTTCAAAACATCCGGTTTACCCCATTCACTTTTTGGTGTTTACCCTGGCGTTTCGCGAGGCAAGCATTTACTCGTCAACATCTTGACTCAGTATATCTATCAACTACTCAAGAACGCACAGGACATGGATATGCGTAGGATGTATAGGTTTTTCAAAGAGTATCCCTGGACTCCGGCTGCTGCTGGATACATATTCAAGGATCATTTACATGGGCTCTTGTTGAAGGGCGGAACGTGGAAGGTTAATCAGCTGATACAAAGTGGCGAGGATCTCAAGAATTTCTCATACATCCGGAATGCCGAATCTCATGCTGGCTCCCGATGGCTTTGCGTTGGTCGACTCCCGTATCTCGCCAACGACAAACCTCAGGAAGCCGCGCTGCCTCTCGAGCTTCGCCGATACGATGCGCAGAGCATCACCAACTCGGAACTGACACGGTCGGGCATCTACTATCAGCCGGATTCGTCAATGTACGATTCTCATGTGGTCAACACGCAGGAGAAGCAGGTTATGGTGTTCCAGTTCGCCGTTGCAAGCAAGCATGATGCAAAAGTTTCTGACTTGGTATGGCTGAAAGAACGTTATGGTGATGCTGGGTACAAGATCAACTATGTGGTTTTCGCGGATTGGGATTCGGATATCACAATCTATATCCCTCGTGCCTACGACTCCTTTTTGGCGACAAAGTTACTTGTGCGAGTAACAGAGGACGAGTTGTTTGCTCAAGTACCTGAAGAACAATCGACTACGGCGAAAAGAAGGGCTAGTGAGGAGTCTGACGGACAGGTTTCAAAGAAAGTTTGTATGGAAAAGTAGTATCAACGTTATGTCCTTTGGGCTACTTCTGTTTGACTATTGTACCATCTAAATAAACGCTTGACTTGGAGTGGAGGCACCGCTCTACTCATGCTCCATGACACTCCTTAAACTGTGTAGTTCTTCGACTACCACCGCACGTGTTGACAGCTTCAAGAAGCAGAATGCCCATGGAAGCAAGCAAGGATTGCCACCCGGACAACGGCATGGTTCCCGTGAGCGTGAGATTGGGTATGCTGGTGGACCATGGTCCCATGGGACGCAGTTTAGAAGAATATAATGATGTCGAGCGAGAAATCGGCGATGTATACACAGTGCCAAATGCGCATGAGCAAATATTATTTTACATGGGTCATTGAGACTGATCCTTGACTAGCTTGACAAGAGGTGGTAAGGAACGTAGAAATTGGAGACACAGTGGACTGTGGCATTTCACCATCAATATCGATGGTGTCTTGGGAAGCAACTCTGCGTATGTGAAGAATAGCACGGCTCGTTAATATCGAGTGCAATATGCGTTCAACACTGGTGATTGGATTGGTTTCAGTTGGGGAACAGTTCGCCAGCAATCCTGGACGTACGAGGTGAGCAGATGAACCAGATCCTGCTAATTATCACAAACATTTAGTCCTGGAATTGCCTCACGCTAGTAGAAATAAACTCACCGGCATAGTGACGACAACAATGACATTGATGACGGAGAGGACTATGAGCTTGTTGTGAGACCAACACATCTCAAA